TTCCCCACCGCGGCCGGGGGAGCGGCGGGACCCCCGCGGCCCCGGGGCGATGCTGACCCGGCCCCTCGCCGCTCTCGCCCGCAGCCGTGGTGGGCGCCGGGCTCGGGGGTTCGGCCGCCGCGTACTTCCTGCAGCAGCACTTCGGGCCGCAGGTGCAGCTGGACGTGTACGAGGCGGCGGGCGTGGGCGGGCGCCTGGCCACCGTCACCGTCAACAAGCAGCAGTATGAGAGCCGGGGAGCCTCCATCCACGCCCTCAGCCTCCACATGCAGGACTTCGTCAAGATCCTGGGTGAGCGTGGGCGTCCCAGCGCTTGCGTGGCCTCCCTCGCCGAGCTGGGGGGCTGGGACACCCCCGGTGCTTGGGGCAGTGGGGAGGGTTTCTGCCGGTCCCCTGGGCGCCCTAGGCATGTGATGATCCCCCTGCTGTCCATGCAGCCCAGCCCTGTATGCCCTGGAAGAGAAAGGGATGGGGTGATCACCACCAGAGGGTCCTGGTGGAATTAGCGTGGGGAGGGTTGTGCACAAACTCCCACCAGTTTGTCCCAGTAGGCAGCAGCAGCTCCATGAGATGCYCCAACATGCTCTGGCTGGGATCCCACATCTCAGGGTCTCTCATTCCTGATGTCCTTCCAAGAGCATCTTTACCCCAATCCCTGCTGGGGTGTGCCCGGTGCTGGCCTTTCCCCAGGGAGGGGGAGCCATGTGGTGCCTGTTTTCCTCAGGCCTCAAGCACCGGCGGGAGGTGGCCGGCAAGAGCGCCATATTCAGTGGGGAGCACTTCGTCCTGGAGGAGACCGACTGGTACCTGCTCAACCTCTTCCGGCTCTGGTGGCACTATGGCATCAGCTTCCTGCGCCTGCAGATGTGGGTGGAGGAGGTGATGGAGAAGTTCATGAGGTAGGAGAGCCCGCGGGGCTGGGGAGGGTTCCCCTGGCACYGGGGCATCACCGGGTGCCCCCTGCTCGTGTCACCTCCAGGATCTACAAGTACCAGGCCCACGGCTACGCCTTCTCCAGCCTGGAGGAGCTGCTGCGCTCGCTGGGCGGCGAGGCCTTCGTGAACATGACCCAGCGCTCGGTGGCCGAGTCCCTGCTGGAGGTGGGTGTCACCCAGCGCTTCGTGGACGATGTCATCGCCGCTGTCCTGCGCTCCAACTACGGCCAGTCTGTGCTGGTGCCCGCCTTCGCAGGTGAAGCCACCTCTCCTTGCTGTGTGACGCTTCTCAGTGTCCCCTCTGTGGCCAGGCTGTGGAGTCACCCTCCTCTTCCTCTCCGCAGGAGCCATGTCACTGGCGGGAGCCCAGGGCAGCACCTGGGCGGTGGAAGGAGGGAATAAACTGGTGTGTTCGGGGCTGCTGAAGYTGACCAAAGCCAATGTCATCCCAGCCAGGGTGACGGGCATCTCCCTGCACAGCTCGGGTGAGCCTGGGCAYGGCTGTGGGGCTGGGTGCATCGGGRTGATGGCAGCGTGGGGATGCTGGGGCTGGAGAGCATCCTGGTCCTGGGGAGGCACTGGGGAAAGGGCTTGGGAATCTCTGTCTCCTCCTTGTCTGATCCACTGGGGACCCTGCAGTACCAACCTCAGCCCTGAGGTCGCCCTYCCTCCCTGTTGAGGTCCCTCAGATCTCCCTGTGGCACAATTCTTGTTGCAGGCTTGTTCCCCCATCCAGCACAGCAGAAGAGTATCTGGGGCCTGGGGTGGGGGCTGTGTTGCCCCAGTCCTCTTTGCCCCCACTAGGCTGGGCTTCTCTGGAATTTTTCTCCCACAGTCTTGATAATCAAGTCTTTCTGCTGCCCTAAGGCATCAGCAACTCATCCATAACCATCAGGTGTTATGGTCCAACACTGGTGCGTACTGGAAAAGCAGGGGATGGAGCTCATCTTGGAGAAAAGGGCCAGGGCAGCTACTCCTGGGGCTCAGGGCTGCTCCTGACTGTCGCCTGTCTCTTTTCAGAGGGGAGAGCCCTGTACCAGGTCCACTACGAGAGCAGTGAAGGCCAGGGCTCGGCTTTCTACGACATGGTGGTGGTGACCACTCCGCTGCATCCCAGCAGGAGCAACTTCACCTTCGAGAACTTCGACCCGCCCATCGCCGACTTCCCCGGAGCCTTCCAGCCCTCCGTCACCTCCGTGGTGCAYGGCTACCTCAACTCCTCCTACTTTGGCTTCCCCGACCCCAAGCTGTTCCCTTTCACCAGCATCCTCACCACCGACACCCCCGACCTCTTCTTCCACGCCATGGACAACATCTGTCCCGTCAACATCTCGGCGGCTTTCCGGCGCAAGCAGCCCCAGGAGGCGGCGGTGTGGCGCGTCCTGTCCCAGCAGCCGCTGGACAAGCACCAGCTGAAAACCCTTTTCAGATCCTACTACTCGGTGCAGGTGACCGAGTGGCAGACGTACCCCCGCTATGATGCCACCAAGGCCCTGCCRCCCATCGTGCTCCACGACAACCTCTTCTACCTCAGCGGCGTGGAGTGGGTGGCCAGCTCCATGGAGATGATAGCCGTGGCAGCCAAAAACGTGGCCCTGCTGGCCTACAACCGCTGGCATCAGGAGCTGGAGAAGATCGACCAGAAGGACTTGATGCACAAGGTGAAGACAGAGCTGTGACGCCCGGCGGGGTGGTGGGCCAGGAGTTTCAGTGTGTGCTAGCCTGGGGAGTATTTATTGCCTTGGGGAGGCCAGGGGGGGCTGGGGGACAAGGGACAGGTTGTGTCCCGGTGACTTGAAGRCCTTCAGGAATACAATTCCTGCCCAGTGTTGCTGTGTTTTTGCCGTGTGCCTCAGTTTCCCTGCTCCACTTGTCCAGGCTCTACCAGAAAGGAGCCCATGCCTTCTGTGAAGAAGGGTCACTGTGTTTGGGAGGGATCTCRGGGGGCATCCAGGGGCGAGGCTGGCTGGCACTGGCAGCAGATGTGTCCCCCCTGAGCTCCCACAGTCTGTCCTGCCAGCCTGGCTTTGCCCCTGGAAAACTCACAGGTAGGGCTGGAGATCSTGTCCCGTGCCTGGAGCCCCTGGTACCCCCAGGCTGGGCTCTCACAGGTCCTGCCAGGTGTTCTGAGTTTCTGGGGGTGTCCAGGATTGTGTTTGGGGGGCAGAAGGGCTCTGCTGGGAGAARCTGGGCAGGGCAGAAGGGCAGTGTCAGACCAGGGCCAGCGATGCRCTTTATTGAGACCGCAGAAGCTGCCCAAACCAGCAGCAGCTTGCCCAACTCCTTGGATTGCCCAGCCTGGCACAGTGGAGCTTGGGGGAGCGCTGGGGAGGACTGGGAAAGATGGGAGGGCTGGGCATTACTGGAGCTGTTGCAGCGAGGCAGCAAACAAAGGGAAATGGGGACTTCGGGATCGGGATCAGGCCTCCTCCTTCCCCAATCCCAATCCCGATCCCAATCCCGATCCTGCCCAGCCAGAGGGACCCYGGGCAGCTGCCTCCCTCTCTCCCCAGCCTGCAGCTGAGCTCCTCCCTGGAGGCTGGGGGCACTGGGTGGCACTGCATGGCTGCTGGGTCCCGTGGGTGGCTCACAGGGGCTGCCTCTGCACTGGTGTCCCCAAAGCAGCTGCTGGGGCTGATGGAGTCTGCAGGGGAATTTTGAGCACCTCCTGCACAGGGTACTGCTCTCACCCTGATGCCCAGCCAGGTGACCTCTCCCAGGGCTGGGCAAGCATGGCAAGCAGGAGCAAGCTGGTTAGATGGCCGTGGGGAGCTGCAGGGGTTAGCTTTGCAGCCTCAGAAGATGCAGGTGCAGCCCACAGCGATGGTCTCCATCACCATCTGGTACTTCTTGTGGCACTTCTTCCTGGCCGAGGGTCGGTGCCCCGCCTCAGACGGCCCTGGGCACAGCAGGCGGCGCACGGGCAGCCGGCTGTAGATGGGAATGCTGGCCATGGTGCGGTCCTCCTGCATGGTGAAGGGGTTGATGCAGCCAGTGCACAGGCAGCGGGCCTCGGGGATGTCTGCTGGGATCCGTGTGGCATCGTGGTTTATCCTGGGGGAGAGGGAAAGCGGGACAAGGCTGGACACATGGTGGGATGGGGGTAGTGGGTGCCCAGGATGAAATGGGGTTCGGGGTCACATCCTGGCACAGTGCCACCGTGCCTGTCCCCAGCTCCCTGCCCGAGCTCACCTGTAGGCCCAGGGGGACAGGCTCCTGCGGTTGGACCTCCAGAGCCTCAGGTTCACCTGGCACTTGGCGTCACCCGGCTCGGAGCCGTTCCTCAGCTGGCGCACCATGTCCTGGATGCTGTGCTCGTACTCTGCCATGCTGCTGTAGGGCTCGTCCGGGGCCCAGGCCAGGGCAGGGGTGGCTGTTGGGGGCCGTGCCAGGCCCCTTCTCCTGCCCTTGGCTGCCTTGCTCTGGTCCTTGGCTTCGGCATCCGGGACCATGGCGAAGGTGAAGATGCACAAGAGAAGCTGAGGAACAAGGATAGTGAGTCGGTGCTCAGGCTGCAGGGCTGGCACGGAAGGGGAGCTCTCCCRCTTGCCAGGGGTCACCAGGTGATGGCAGGACCACGGTGACTTTGGGTGGCACATGCAATGGCCTGCAGGTGAGGCCCGTGGAAGGGCAGTTTGCAGGAACGGTGAGCACACGGTCACAGTGAGCKGATGTGTGGCTGCCCCTACCCTGGCAGTTGAGGTGCCCCTGCCTGTGCTGCCCAAGCTGTGCCCGGTCCCTTCCCTGCCCACCCCAAGCAGCTGCGTGCCAGRAGGGCTCAGGCTGTACCTGGGCTGCCTTTGGTTTAAAAGGAGCCTTACAGAGGTGAGACAGTCAAGAATGGAATCTTTATCCAAACCCTCCTCGCCCTCCCTCTGTGCCCTGAGGACGGTGARAGAGAAAAGATGCTTTTTCCTTCCCTTCTCCCTCCGGCCGTGTGCTGCCACCCGGCAGGCTGCCCAGCAGGGAACAAAGTTGCTTTCTGTAGTCCCTCTCCCTGCTATCYGTGTCCCTGCAGCCCCACACCCTGCCCTGGGGCAGGCACCGCTCGGCCAGGGCTGTTCTCCCGGTCCGTGCCGGGCTGTCCGGCCGGGCTGGCGTGGCTCTGCCAGGCTGCCCCATCCTCRCCGTGCCAGGCGTGGGAGCGATGGCCCTGGCACGCCACAGCAGGCAACTCCAAAACAAACAACCCCCGGTAAACAAGCGTGCAAATAATTCTGTTAGAGGAGGAAAATGAGGAGCAAGCCCTGAGCCACCAGGGAGGCACCTACCAGGTTTGGAGCCCGCTCCATGGCCGCGGAGGGGCTGCCGGCGCTGYCCTGCAGTGTGGCCGGTCCCTGCGAGCCGGGCAGCTAAAAAGGGAAAGCCCCAGCCCCCGGCTGTGCCCCGCCGGAGGTGTGTCCGGTCCCCAAGGTGCCAGGGAGCCTCGGAGCAGACAGGGCAGGGGGCCAGCGTGGTCTGGGACTCGGCCACCCGTCGCCGCCCCGGGCGCTGGCTCCGCTGGTGGTGGCGACTGTGGTCAGTGGCGAGTGCCCCATGGGCCAGGCAGCCCCAGGGGGCTCTTCTGGYAATAACGTGCTTTGGGCTCCGGTGGTGCCACCAGCGTGGTCACAGCCCTGACAGGGCCGGAGGGACGCGGCTGCTGGGCTGGCAGAGCAGGGCTGGGGCTCACAGGAGGMGCAGTGGCTGAGTCCTGCGCTGGCAGYGAGGTGAGCAGGTAACTGGGGCTGRGGGGCCACTGTCACCTGTGTGCCACCACCAGCAGTGGCTCTGCTGTCCCCAGGAGTCCCCAAACTCTTCTGCCCAGCAGTGAGAGGGTGGCACCCATCATTCCCTGCACCCCTGGTCCGTCTGCCCCCAGACCCTTCCCCAACTGCTGCCATGGGGGCACAAGCAGCTGTGCCCTCAGCTGGCCGTGGGTCTGGGCCCGGAGCTGGGGGTGCTGAGGGTGGGTGGGTGCCGCTCTGGCCACCCAGAGCCGAGCATCGGGGTGCAGAGTGCTGCGGGGAGGGAAACTGAGGCACGGGAGTGGATGGCTGTAATGCCCATCCCAGGGACGGGGCACAGGGCCTGGCGCTGCACCCCCTTTTCCTGTGCTGTCGCTGTCCCTGCGGTCAAGTGCCACGCGATGGTGCTGTCCGCCACCCAACCGCTCCAGCGCTCCGTCCTTCCCGTCCGCATCCTTCCTCCTCCCCTCCATCCCTCCGCCTCTCCATCCCTCCATGCATCCCTCCGCCCCTCCATCCGCCCCTCCATCCCTCCTCCATCCCTCCCTGCATCCCTCCGCCCTCTATCCCTCCTCCATCCGCCCCTCCATCTCTCCCTCCAACTCTCCCTGCATCCCTCCGCCCCTTCATCCCTCCTTGCATCCCTCCGCCCTCCATCCCGCCCTCCATCCCTCTCTCCTCCCCTCCAGCCGCAGCCGGGGTGCCCGGCGCTGCTCCCCACGCTCCCGGGCACAGGTTATGCCCCGCTCCTTTGGTGGCAGCACTGGATGTTCCCTCCTCCTCCTCCCGTCTCGCTGTGCATCCCCAGGGATTTGAAGGCCCTTGAGCTTTGTAGGGCAGTGGGAAATTCCCACCTTCTTTCCCCAGTCCGTGAGCTGGGCCTCGGGAAATCCCTGTCAATAGGATAAAAGTCTCTGTACCCCCAAATCCTAATCCTTCTGCCTGCCCTGGGATGCAGCAGGAAACAGTCCGGCTGCTCCCACCCTCCCCAGCCCGTGTTAACATCCCCAGCTCAGCATTTCGAGGGCTTTGCTGTCCYCTTGGCTGAGATCTGAGCACACAGTGTCCCGTTTGTCACCTCAGGAGCTCTGCAAGCACCTTCCTGTGCTTCAGGTGTACGGCAGCACCTGGCCTTTGGCCACCAGCATTTTCTGGGGTGCTGTGGCAGCCCCTGCCTGCACCCAGCAATTTCACCCCATTCTGGGACCCCCAGAAGGGCTGGTGGCAACCCCGGGGCGCCTGCGTGTGCCTGCGTTGTGTCAGCGCTCGGCAATGCTGTTTACACATGAGAGAGGCGCAGAGGCATCTGTGCCGGCAGCCAATTACCCAGTTTTGATCTTTTTTGGTGAAAAGGAAACCAGGCCTTTTCAGACATGGCCAAATTTGATAAGCTGGGGGAGGCGGGGACAGGCACAGGAGGCTTTTCCCCACCGGCCTCGCACAAGGGAAGGGGCTGGGATGGGGAGGCTCTGTCCCCAGGCTGGGACAGGATGGCTGGGGGGCTCTGTGTGCCCTTCCTGGCTGTAGTGCCATCCCTGAGGGAGGAGGGAGCAGAGTGTGTGGGGTTGGAGTGCTGGAAACCCCCAAAGGCTCCCCTGGGAGGGGGTGACCCTGACAGGAGAGAAGAAATGCTCAGATTTTGTGCATGTTCATCCCTGCTGCTGTCACCACATTGTCACACTGCCTTGGGAAACTCGGGAAACAGCTGGAGAGTGGGAACAGGGATCCAGAGGGGGCAGGGGAGGCTGTGAAGGTGGGTTCCACATGGCCTGAGCAAAGCCAGGTGTTTATTTGCCAGGTTRCCCTCACAGAACCCACACCAGCCTTGTGCTGCAGAGGGATTCGGGGCTTGGCAGGAGGGATGCCCTGGGCAGGGATTGTGGGCAGAGCACAAAGCAGGAACTGCAGGTAAGGGATTGGGGAGAAACCAGATCCTAAACCTATGCTGGCAGAAAACAGCTTTGTGCCTTTTCCTACAAACAGGAATGTCCCTGTTGGGGTGGGAGCTGCTGGTGTGGGGTCTGCTGTCCCCTCCACCTGCAGTGGGCAGTGGGCAGTGGGCAGTGGGCAGCTCCACTGTTGGTGCCACTCTGCAGGGCATGGTCACTTCTCCAGGCACCAGGCTATTCCAGAACCCAGCTCCTGATGGGGTTTGTGAGGCCCCAGCACACCTGGGCACACACCCACCCCGGGGCCAGGCAGACGGGTCTGGCGGGAGGCTCYGGCACGGGCACATCCCTATCTCTGCATGAGCAACATTTTCCACTCATCAAAGGGAAGCTTCAGCGAGCTGCCCTGCCCAGAGCCAGCCCTGTGGYGTGTGGGAGGAGGGCCAGGCCCGGGGGCCTCCCATGTCCCCCCAAAAACCCCCCTGGCAGGTAGTGCTGGCCCAGCCAGAGCACGGAGCTCACATCCTTATTTGCACAACAGCTCCAGAGACGCCCCAGCCAAAAAGGCTTATTTTAAGCTTGCTGGAAAAAGAACATTGTTTGGTGGGAATTAAAACTCCCCGTTCTCAAAAAAGGGAAAAACAAAAAGTGCTTAATTCTGCCGGCTCCTGCCATTGCATAAACACAGAGACACAGCACGGCTGGACRGGGCCGCCAGGAATTTATTGCTGGCATCGGGTGGGATGGGTGCTCTCCCCACAGCAGCTGCTGTAGGACAAAGACCCATCCTTTTCTGTGCCCTCATTGTCTCAGAAGACCTCAGCCTGGCAGGACGGGCTTTCCCGAGGGAGGGAAGGGGCATCACAGTGCTGCAGCGCCGGRGTGCTGCGGGCAGGAGGGGTGACCACACTGGCAGCGCGATGTCTCGCTGGCCCGGGCTCTGCATCACTGCACAATATTATTTATACAGCTCTAATCCAGCCGTCCCCGGGCGGGGAGCTGGGTGATGCTGTAAATCACGCCCTTTGGATCCCAGGCGGGAGATAACAGCCAGATTTGGGCGGCGGGAGGCAGAGCTGAGCGGGGCTGGGGAGCGCGGAGCCAGCAGCACCCCGAGCCCCCGGACAGGAGGCTCCGGGGGGACCGGAGGCGTCGGGCGGGCGGGGGAAGATGCGCGTCCGGCACATCCTGAGCAGCCCCTCCGGCACATCCATCACCCGGCCCGCGTTTACAGCACGTCGCTGCTTACACGATCCAGACGCGCAGGTTCCTCCTGTGTCGCGCTCCTCTCCTGGCTTTTGTTTTCCTTTGCCTCCTGTTGCTGGAGACAGAGCACCTGATGGAAAAAGCCTGCTCTGCCGCTCTCCGGGCTGGGAACAGCCGCTTCCTTCCTTCCCAGCCCGGCACAGCGCCCGCTGCGGGGCCGGTGGCTGTCCCGGTGCCTCCCTGTCCCGGTGTCCCGTGTTTGCTCCCCGATGGTGGAACTGGGGCAGGGCTGGAGGGGCTGATGTGAGGGCATCGCACGGACAGATCCCGGTCCCAGTAAGCCCCTCTGGGTGCTCTGTGAAGGCAGTCTCAGCTCCTCAGAGGACAGAGCTGGAAGGCTGAAGGGAGCACTGAGGCATTAGCTGGCCATGGATCCCATCATCCTGCCTGTCCCCATGCCCTGGTCCCTCCGTGACTCCTGTGCTTGCCCTCTGACCTTTTCCAGCCCTCTGGGCTCCTTGCCTTAGCCTGTGCACAGTATGGATTGGCAATGCTGGCTTCCCAATAACTCAGTTCTCCTTCCCCTGCAGCAGCAATCACACACCAGCCCCTGAGTGCTTTGGAGAGGGATGGCTTCACTTTTACAAAAGTGAGACAGTCCTGCCAGAGTGCCCTCGGCATCCCAGCTCCTGGCTGTGGGAAGGGCTGGTGTTTTAGCCCTGTGTGGGGTATATGGGGCACCCTGGAGCCATCCCCACTGCCTTCCCTGCGACGCCGAGGGCTGGGGGATGCTCTCAGGCAGCAGTGCCCTCTGGGTCTGTGAGGAGAAAGCCTTTCATTTTAAGGGCTTTGGTGGCTTTTGCTGGTGGGCAGGAGTCCAAGTTCYCGGTTTCCCAGGGCAAGGCCAAGGGTGGAGGTAAATGGAAAGCTTGGCAGCAACACTGATGTCTGTCYTGGAGGGTTGTGCTCAAGCCAAGCTTCTCTCTGTGTCCCTGGGCAAGGGATCACAGGCAGGGACCCCCAAACTCCTGGGCAGTCATCACCAGAGGGGAACTGGTGGTTTGAAGGCAGAGCAGACAATCTCCTGCCCTGSTCCCCATTCCCTGCTCCCTGCTGCAGTCCAGGGAGGGAAGGGATTCACAGGGCAGCCCAGGCYAGTGCTGAAGGTCACCTCCAGAGCTGCTCCAGTGGAGCTTGTCCATCATTCCTGCCCTGCAAGGGGGTGAGGGAGGCAGGGGTTGTAATAATACAYGGGCTGAGAAATGCCCTCCAGCAGGCCCTTCTGATGGCAAGCAGCAGAGGGAAAGGCTGGGAATTTGGTGTGTCTGTGATGTTTCCTTATCACTTCCTAGGCTCTTGGGAAGGTGGGAGCAGCCCTTTCCATCACTGACCCATGGCATCACCCCATGTGCAGCCAGTGGCTTTCTCCCCACCTGCCTGGGACAGGGCTGTCACCGCCACTTGACCCATGCCCTTTAACACAGCCAGAGAGGCTGGAGGTCAGCGGGAGGTGGCAAAAAAAGTCACTTTTGTGGAGATACTGAAACTGAATCTGTGGTGAGGAGGGATGGCTGGGCAGCATCTTARCGAAGGAGTAACAAAAACAAACCCGCGCCAAGGAATCCTGCTTTGCCCCAAATGTTTTTCTTATGGAGTTGTAAYAAGACAAGAGCTGTAAAGATAGTAACCTCCTAAACATTACCTTATTAAGGCTTCTCAGAAACCACAGGGCACGACCCCTCTGGGTCATGGAAC